TCTCTTCAGATGAATATGCATAGAAAACAACAAGTAGTGTAACAAATGCAATTTACCTTTATTCTCTTTACACAGACTCTTAATTAAAATACAGTAATTATAATAGATCTACTTGCTATAAAATCTGTCTTTGGCCAAAAGGAAATAGAAAGACCAAGACAAATTTTATTAAATAATAATAAAAATGAGGCCTTATTATGCCTCTACTTACTAATGAAATTCCATGTGGATTACTTTCTTTAGTAATGACATATCATTTTAAATCCAAAATAGTCATTTCTCATGACTAAGCAAATAAAGGAATGAGACTCATAGTAATATTCTGAAAACATAATTTCCAGGTGGGAAATTAAAAGAGGCCAAAAGTAGAAAGAGTCATTTATGCTAATCACCTGCTTTACAAGAATTTCATACACACACACACGCACACACATCTAATGAGGGTAATTCTCAAAATAGAGCCTTTTATCTATTAACCTTTCAGCCTAGGCCTCAAAGCCCATAGATAAGGTAATATTTTCTAGCATAAATCCATCTTGTAAGAATGTAAATTTATTGCGCATCACCATAATCTTGGGGGAATATATATTAATGATTTTTCCAAATACTCAATCTAACCCAGACTATTTACATGGCTCACTTCCCCACTTATTGCGACACTGTGACATCACCACAGCTCCTTAATGTGTGCACATTTCTAGTGAATTTAAAATCCATTACACGGGCACCTGGGTGGCGCAGTCGGTTAAGCGTCCGACTTCAGCCAGGTCACGATCTCACGGTCCGTGAGTTCGAGCCCCGCGTCAGGCTCTGGGCTGATGGCTCGGAGCCTGGAGCCTGTTTCCGATTCTGTGTCTCCCTCTCTCTCTGCCCCTCCCCCATTCATTCTCTGTCTCTGTCTGTCCCATAAATAAATAAAAAAAACGTTGAAAAAAAATTAAAAAAAAAATAAATAAATAAAATCCATTACACATATCAGATTCATATGTGCAGCTTATTAAATAAGGTTTTAATGTTTGTTTTTTATCTAGAATTCAAGATAAAGATAAATGTCACAAAATTTTAACAAGTGAATTTGAAACAAATTGTTGCTTTAGATTTAATATGTAATATGCAACTAATTGTGATAAAATCAACTTATAATTTCAGTACATATCACTTTACTTACATGAAGAACTTAACTGAAAAATCAAGGGGGAAAAAACACGAAATGCTAAGATTACTATTACTAATTCTTACAAGTTTTAAATTCCTCATTTTAAACAGTTTTTTGGAAAATATATCATTTCTGTTATGATTACTTTGGTAAAATAGCCCTGTTTAATAAAGATAAACTACTATTATTGTAGTTCAGTCTTAGTCACTCCTACTTGTGAAGCACATAATTAATGAGTATTAATATTTTCAGTTCGATTCACTGCAATTCTCTCTCTACCACTGGACCTTTTCTACAGGTATTTAAAAATACCTTATTTTTTTCTCTCTTTAAAATTAAATGTGTGTGTGTATGTATGGAAAAAAACCCTCTTTTTAAGCCCTAATCAACCCTCTGATTCTATGCATTTAGTCCTCTACATTTTAACTTCTTCAAAGTGTTGTGTATTGGGATAGAATTAACTTAAACCAACCAAGAAAATATATTGCTTTTTAAAAATTATCTTGGTGAAAATATAAAGCTTTTTTAAAAATTAGCTTTGTAAAAAAGTGGAACCAAAATCTTAAATGCCATTAGGACTATTTTACTGCCTCTTTTTTTCTCTTTTTGTTTTTCTGCTGACTTCTCTTCCACTGCTGTCTTCCTTTGCCCATACAAGATCTGCTTCTAAGGTCATCTACTCACACATCTTACAAGAACAAAAGAGTATCTTTTTCCCAGCTCTAGTTTTCCTCTGATTACATCATTTGAGTTACATGCCTATTCCTTTTACCAATAAGTGTGACCAAAGGAAAGGAGCATTTATGATTGCTCTTGTTTAGATCAAGTGGACAGTACACTCTTGTGCTAGAAGAATAAGGCGCTGGAGATTGGGAAGACTAAAATGATAGTATTCACTGAGCTAGCCTTCAAGCCTTCTCTTTTCTACATATTTTCCATGACAATTTATGTTAAATATAATCACTGAATTAGTGATCCCAAATCTGTATTACTAACTCAGATTTCACTATGAAGCTTCATATCAGTATTTAAATGACTCATGTACATCTTGACCTTAAGGTCTCCATTCATCTCATATCAGCAAGTCTATAACCCCGTCCAAACTTGCTTCTACATCAGCCTTCTCTAGCCCAGCAGATGACTCCATGAGTCAACCTAGTTCACTAAACCTGAAACACAGTAAATCTCTTTGAAAATTGTATTTACCTTATCCCTATCACTGTTAATTCCTACTCAATCAAAATTCTTCACTGTTTCTCATCACTCACATACATCGCTCTTATATATTCCTAGTTTAGACCAGGGCTTCCTCTAGACTGGGCTACTAAAGTGGAATATTTACTAATCTCACCATTTTTAATTCTTTAGACATAATCACCACTAATTCTTTCTACAAACTGGTGTTTTGCCAAAGCAAATATAAAATATTTACAGTAAATATGAGCGTCACACAACAAAATGCTTATAATAAATGTTGTATTGACTTCATACTACTTAAAAAAATTTAATCCATTCTACACACTATCCTGCTGGAGAAGCACAAAAATGCAATAAAGTCATTAGATGAAATCTCTCAAATTAAAGCAAAAGCCCAATGGGTCATAAAAAATCCAACAGTGGACACAGGTTAATATTTATATCTACCAATAAAGGTACATTCCAAACCAATATTATTTTTTTACTTAACATCTTTCTTAAATATCTCTCAATCCTACCACCTACCTTACATGTATTACTTGAACGTTTCAAGGACCAAGTCTGCTTCCTAGTTTAGAGGGATGTATTCAGTATCTCCCCTTGGATGGCTGTTTCTGCCTCCTCACTTTCCAAATCTTAGCCCCATTTCTCCCACATTTTTATACGAGCCAAAGCTAGAGATCTAAAAGATCTCTTAAAATCCTTTAAGTTTGTTCTGTTTGGAATAAATAATGTTTACAATTTTGATTAAGAACCAAGATATCAAACACAGGCAGTTTCACATAAAAATCTGGGCTTACAGCTTATTTTGAAAAGTTGAACATCTGGCCAATACTGAGCCTACATTTCCTCATGTGAAGAAAGCTAAATAATGGCTTCCTAACTTGTAAGATTTCTCTTCAATTTAGTACAATGTCTAACATTCTTTGCTCATTTTTTAATACGTGTTCACTTTTGTTGTGAAAATGTTTTGAATGAAAATGTACACATCATGATATTCATCTCTAAATGTTTCAGGGTGCATCTCTTAATAAAAAATGTAAAATAACTCCTACATAATCACAATACCATTATTACATCTAAAAATTAGCAACAATTCATTGATATCAAATAATATACAGGCTATATCCAAAATCTCCAATTGATCCCCTAATTATATTTTATAGTTAATTATTTAAATTGGTTATTCATTTCTTAAGCATGACCAGATCTACTCATTAAGCTTATTTACACTATTCACGTTGGCATTTGAGTTTGTATACCTGATTTAAGATAAAAAGGTAAGCTTTGGAATGGGAGAAGATATTTACACATGACACATCTGGTAAAGGGCTAGTACCCAAAATCTATAAAAAACTTATCAAACTCAATCTCCAAAAAAATAAATAATCCAGTTACGAAATGGGCAGAAGACATGAATAGACATTTCTCTCAAGGAGACATCTAGATGGCTAACAGACACATGAAAAGATGCCCAACATCACTCATCATCAGGGAAATACAAATCAAAATCATGATGAGATACCACCTCACACCTGTCAGAATGGCTAAAATGCACAACAAAGGAACAAGTGTTGGCAAGAAGGTTGAGAAAGGGGAATGCTCTTACACTGCTGGTGGGAATGCAAACTGATGAAGCCACTCTGAAAAACAGTAAGGAGGCTCCTCAAAAAGTTAAAAATACAACTACCCTATGATCCAGCAATTGCACTCTTAGATATTTACCCAAAGGATACAAAAATACTGATTCAAAGGGACACATGCACCCCGATGTTAACAGCAACATTATCAACAATAGCCAAATTATGGAAAGAGCCCAAAGGTACATAAATTGATGAATGGATAAAGAATAGGTTTTGTGTGTGTGTGTGTGTGTGTGTGTGTGTGTGTGTGTGTGTGTGTGTGAGTGTGTAATGGAAAATTACTCAACCATCAAAAAGAATGAAATCTTGCCATTTGTGACAATGTGGATGGAGCTAGAGTGTGTTATTTTTAGTGACATAAGTCAGATAAAGACAAATACATATGATTTCACTCATGTGTAATTTAAGAAAAAAAACAGATGAACATAGGTGGAAAAGAAGGAAAGGGAAACTAGAAAAACTCTTAACTATATAGAGAACAAACCAAAGGTTGATGGAGGGAAGGTGTGTGAGGGGATGGGTTAAATGGGTGATGAACATTAAGGAGGGCACTTATGATGAATCTTGGGTGTTGTATATAAGTGAAGAATCACAAAATTCTACTGAAACAACATTACACTATATGTTAACTAAACTGGAATTTAAATTTTAAAAATAGAAAACAAAATTAATTAAAAATATGTCTTAACTTCTCTTGGAACAAAGGAAACTTAAGACTTCAAAATCTAAAATTCTTACTAATTTACATTCCTTTTACCATTTTTGTGAGGATGGTAGATGGAAAGCATAGCTGGAGAGATAAATTAAAACCAATTTTAAAAAGATCCCATCTTTCATGACTCTTACAGTAACAAGCATAAATTAGAAACTCTAAAATGTTTCTGACACATAGCAATCTTTTTTGACTGTCAGTCTATGTTCATGTTGGCCTAGAGAAGGAGAGATGGACTCTAGGCTTGGGGAATGGAAGATCAGTCATGAAGAAAGAGATGCAAAGAAACTTACCCCAAGTCCTGGAAGAGGAAGAATGCTTCAATCCATTCTAAGCCTTCCCACGGTTCTGGGAATAGAATAAAAATCCCTGAATGTGACTTGTAAGACACATCATGATTTATTTTTTGCATATATACCAATTATTTTCCTGTCGTTCCACCTAGGCTGAATGTTTTTACTCCTTGAATGCATTATGTTCTCACCAACTCTGACAATTGCCAGAAACACTTTCTTAAGCCTTAAGTATTAGCTGAAATGTCACTAATAGAATGGAAATCTCCCAACCACCCATGTCTGGATCAACAACCTTCAAGTACTTTTTTTTCTTCTATCCATTCTGCTTTATTACATAAACACCTAGTTACAAGTTGTACAAATCAAAACACAAAGGAAGAGAAGGGTGTAGGGAAGGTTTTTGTGATGTGCAGGGGGTGGGAAGGGAGAAAGGGTTGGGAGCCAGTCCTCCCCCTCCACACACAGCCCTGGATGAGGGCTATGGCATCTGCAGTGGGGATCTGAGAAGGAGGTGGGCAAAGATCCAGGGTAGCTAAGGGATGGAGGAAGCCCCTAAACCCAGAGCTCACTCCAAAAGCCCCTTCATTGCATGGTGAGGGGAGGATGAGGAAGGTGAGGAGGCTCAAAGATGGAGCAGCAAAATGAAAATTCAATAGCAAATCAGACTGAAGTGGAGTTGTCATGGTAGGGGATTAAAGAAGGAAAAAGTAGGTAAAGGGGGCAGTGAAAGATTCTCCCTGAGACCCCCAAGGAAAGGGGGGCCATCTTCCTTGTTAATTTAATATTAAATTGGGAGTGGGAGTTGGAGAAGAAAAAGTTATTTCAGGGGATTATTTCTCAACCTTCAAACGTACGTCCTCCGAGCCTTCTACCTCCACTGACGTATTACTCAACATGGTCTACCATGATGATCCATTATCAGTTTTATCAATAAGACTACTTGCTCTGTGAAAGCTAGAGCCACCTCTAGCTCATTATCATTTTGTGTTCAGCATCTTATATGGTCCTGAGCATGTAACACCTATCCAATGAATGAATTAAAAAATACAGTTACAGTCTTGTTCTAAGACAATCTTTGTTGAAAACTAAAGATGAGTTCATCAGATATACTGTAAAATATGTTGCATGCACTTCAAAGCTCCATCTTATTTTTTCTTGAAAGGTGTTTTACTGACATAAATAAAGGCTACGCTATATTGCAGGAGAGAGAGAGAGAACTTAGAAGAATGATGTCTTAGCAGATTGTGAATGTGTTGTAGTTTTGTTTCTGCACATTGTCAGCTAATTATGTATTTCTGTACTACATTTTCAATTATTCTACCAACAAATCAGAAGAACTAGATTCCATTCCTTTATACATCTCCTCATCAAAGGGGAGAAATTTTAAACAATATTATTACTAGAACATTGATTTTGGATTACAGGAACTTAGAAACGCATTAATGGCAGAAGTGTAGGCCTCAAATAGCCAAATTCACTGAGAGAATACATAAAACAATTACCAGCACAGGAGCAAAATTTATGTCAAGCTAGTGCATAAAAAAATAAGCAAAGACTATAAACATGTTGATTATAATATTGCACAAACAATATAGTTTTCTTTCCAGTAAGTTATTTTTTTTTATTTTTTAATGTTTATTTTATTTTTGAGAGAGAGAGAGAGAGAGAGACAGCCAGCTTGAGCGGGGGAGGGCAGAGAGGGAGACACAGAATCCAAAGTAGGCTCCAGGCTCTGAGCTGTCTACATGGAGCCTGATATGGTGCTTGAACTCACGAACCGGGAGATCATGACCTGAGCCCAAGTCAGACGCTTAACTGAGTCACCCAGACACCCCATCAGTAAGTTATTATAAAATTCTGAACTTGAATATTGTGGCTCAAGCTCTGGTCAAGAATTTCTGAATTCAGCTTTGTCGCTGTCCAGCAATATGTGGCCCCATGCAAATATCTTACAAGCTTTGGTCTCATTCCCTTCAGTTGTAAAATAAAGGTTTGGTATATACCCTCTAAAGTCTATTCTATATTGAAATGTCTCTATTTAATTTCCTCTATCTGCTTTCAAACTCAGTATATTGGAGACAGCACAATTATGTGAATTAATGGTTAGGCGATTTTCCCCCTTTCTGAAATCCTCATATACATAAAAAATTTTTAAAAACTACACATATCACTTTTTTATCATTATCGAATTTTATCAATATCTCATATATATATTTACACTTGAAAACACTGAAGCATTAAGAACTTTAGCAAATTGCCCAAGTATATGTTGACTAGTAAGGAATAAAGAAGCCAGGAACCCATATCTCTGATCCCTAAGCAAGTATTCTTTTCATTCTAGCTTATTACATAATCCTGTCTGTTTCTGAGGTGTCTAAGTTTTTAATGTGTAATTTAACAGATTTTAACCCAGAATGATCTATAGAATATGTCAAATAGGAATGATCAGCCTGGTTCCTATATTTGGCTATGAACAATGATGTCCTAATATCTGGCAAGATATTGAGAAATGAGTCTACTATTTGGCACTAAAAAAATAATTGAGAAGATTAAAACACATGTATACTGATGTGATTTCAAAATATGACTGAAAAATCTTTGCTATCTCTCCCAGTCAGAGGTGGAGTCTAATTCTCTCCCCTTGAATACTAACTGGTCTTGGCGACACACATTCTAACAAACAGAATACTGCAGAACTGACACAAAGACTTCTAAAGCTAAGTTGTAAAAACTTCCACCTGGCTTTCTTTCCTGGAATCTGGTTTTTAAATTCACCTGCCATGTTGTGAGAAAGTCCAGGACACATTCACAGGACATGTGGAGGTGTTCTGGCTGACAGCTCCATGTGAGGTCTCAGCTGATGGGCCGTCAGCACAAACAGCCAGACATGAAAGTGAAGACACCTCTGAGATAACTCTAGCTCCAGCTACCAACTGACTGAATCTTCATGAGAACCCAACTAAAAATTGCCTAGCTATTCCAATTATCCCCAGAGTCATGAGATTTGGGAGTATGTTAGTAGCAAGAGTATTGAAACATTCAATTTTTCTAAAATTATGTAAAATTAACTTTTTATTTTTCTCTCAGTTGTGAGCCCCAGCCAACAGATACTAAGACTAATCCTCACCTTACCTTTTATAACTTCAGGCTTCATATAGCTTATATAAGAGATACTATAATTAAGAACTTGGACATTGGCATCAGATATTCTTTTTTGTATTTTTTTAATGTTTATTCATTTTGAGAGAGAGAGAGAGAGATAGGAAGAGAGAAAGAGCATGCTAGTGGGGGAGGAGCAGAGAGAAAATGAGAGAGAATCCCAGACAGGCTCTGCACTGTCAGCACAGAGCCCAACATGGGGCTTGATCTCATGAAATAGAGTATAATGCTTAATGGACTGAGCCACCCAGGTGCTCCTGGAATCAGATATTCTTAGTTCTGGCTCTACTTCATTGTGTGATTCTGGAAAAATTACATACTCAAAGACTCAATTCCCTAATAATCAAAATTAATAAAATGCTAGAACACATCTTGTTAGTTTTTCTAAAAAATGTAATTAATATTAGTCATATAAAGTTCCTTATGCAAATATAAGTCTGTTAACCTGTTGATTAGAGAACTTCAGGTACATTAACTTTGATTCCATCCCTACCACTTTAGCCCCATATACAGGCTTGCCCTCGTTCTCATAATGTCCAAAGGCCACCTATAGTTCTTTTGCTAAAAAAAAAATCACTGAATTCACTTTCAAGAGATTTTTAAATCTAAAAAGAAGGTTTACAAGTGGAAGAATTAATTTGATTTTCACCATAGGCAATATATTGGAAGACAAGCTTACAGAAGCATTTGTTTATTCCCAGACTAGAAAAGCAACACCTTTAATATAGAGAAGAGGATGATTATAATTATGGCAAAGCTATTTTGTCATCTAAAATGTTATTTTAGCACCATACAAATATTTTATTTTTGCACTTTCCAAATGCTAGATACAATGTATATAACAAAATATCCATTGGGAAGAATTGATTTTATGGAATAAAGTCAAATCTGGAACTAGTTTTACCCTCTAACACTCATTTCATTTGAGAAAAGAAAAGGTAATAAAGTTCTGAAGAAGCATTTCCATTTATTTCTCAAACATCTTGATATAACAGGCAAAACCTCTTAATGAAAAACTTTATGACTTATGAAGTTCATGTCATGAACATACAAAACTCTCACCAGATCTTTACTGAAGGAGAATTCTGGCCTATGAGAACTGAATTTGACAAATCTATTAAAAATGAGATGATTTAGGGATAAATTTTCCATTACTCATTCAAATCTATTACCTTGCACTCACAGGTTTAATTGCTTTTAACAATGAAATAATGGGGATAATTATAAAAATTCATATTTGCTATTCTTCAACTTTTAAAAACATTTTTAAATAGCTGCTTATATATGTTCAAGAGTTAAGAGGAAATATTTTACCACCTTAAGTACAGTATAGAAAAAGGTATGATTTTAATCCTTCCCAGAAGAGATTTGCAAAAACAAATCCCTCATGAAAGCAAGAGGTTAACTTTGCTGTCCATGGCAAGAATATCAATTATCCTTAGATAAGTGAACTGTACACACAAATACTCTTCTTCTCCCATGGATTTTCTAACAGGCAAGGCAGGCCCAACAACTCCATCCTGTTTTTCAAAAAAATAAATAAAATTAAAAAATAACACTCACTCTATGTTACTGAGTAAAAATTATTTGGTAGGTTGGATATGCATGGCATCTTTCAAATATGGGAGGAGAAACTAAACCGAATCTAAATTACTCTTTTTTTCTTGAGGAAGTGGGAAGAAGAAAAAGTCTTTTATCAATTATGATAGTTCTAAATGTGTGGCTTACATATGGTAGTAATTTATTAATACTAAATTTTGGAAAATATAATTTTCTAGATAATTTCAGTATTTCCATTGATTCCTTTGAACTGCTACTTCTTATCCTACACTTAGGATTATCACTTTTTTCCACAAGATTCAACTCACACAGTTTCCTTTATTTCATATCTCT